CCTTCCTTCCTTCCTTCCTTCCTTCCTTCATGCCTCTGGTTGCCTCAGATTGTTTTAGTTAAATTAACGTAGTAACTAATAGTTCATTAGTTGAGCCATTAGTTACTAATATGACTTAGTTACTTAGTTACTGTACTAATGGCTGAACTTTTCCTGGTGGAGGTTGACTAGTTGCTGAATTCTTGAAGGCTTAGTTAGAACCTCTAGGCAACAGTCGGGTTGTTGTTTCAAACACTAGCTGATGCAGCTGCTACATAGATTAACTCTCTTGGTTAATGTCTGGTAATGTTTTAGATGACGCTGTCTGCTGCTGGTTAGCTAGGCTAAGTGAGCATCCTGGACTAGCTGGGTTAGCTGTCTCAGGTAGGCTAGCTGTGTTAGCTGGACTAGCTTGGTTAGCTAGACTAGATGACCCTTTGCAGTTACCCTTCCTCCTCAGGTCTGTGAGTGAATGCAAGGTTGGGAGTCGGCTTCTGTATCTTTGGTATTTCTTCGTCCTCCTTATTTATCCTTGTCAGGAACCAAAGATGTGACTGATTTGTGACTAATCTGTAGACTCTGGCACGCTGTTACTTAGGATTTTGGTGAGCCTAACTAACCCAGTAGCCAATAAGCCCCTTTTAATTTCTGTTAGGATACCTCAGTGACGGAGATTCCCCTGAGCTGTTGCCCCGGCAACAGGCTGCTGACCTCACAGCATCCCAGGAAGCTTGGTGTGACGTCAGTTCGTTTCAGCTGTACGTGGGCTCAGATCCGCCGCGATGCAGCCAGCGGGTGACGGGGTTACTGACAGTGCACCTGCTGGGCCTGGAGGAGATGAAGAGCAGCAGGTAAACTAGAGTTGACCGATCAGAGCAGGTCCTGGACTTTGACTATAAAATGGAAATTGTCCTTCCAGTTTGCAGCGTAATGTCTCTAAGCCTGTTTTAGTCCTAAGCATATTGTGCCTCTTTCGGTCCTAGATCAGAGGACAGCAAAGAAATCTTCTTGGCCATCCAAGTCGATGGGGTGACAAGAGCCAGGACCGCCCTCTTGACCCTCAGAGGCCACACCCGGCCCCTGAACCACACCTTTCACCTTGACTTGGAGAGGGCCCGGCAGCTCCGCATCGTGGTGCTAACACCAGGTACCGGCTTAATTCTAGGGGGGCCAGATCCCGACCCCAGCTATGTTTAAATAACCCGGACCCTCAACTGAACCTGAACCTGGACCTGGACCTGGACCCTGACCTGGACCACCCATTGTTAGGACTCTTGGTGTCACAAGTGCTTTTTGTTTTGCAGCAGCTCCGTCAGTGGTGGGCGGCGCCAAACCAGACCAGAGTAATTCTGCTGGAGGTCCAAACAGGAACCGGGTGTGCTGTCTGGGTGGCGTCTCCATCCCGCCGCTCTTTAAAGGTCGATCACATTCCACCTGATTTTGGTTATTGATCCTGGAGAGGTGATGATGGTTCGTTTGGGTTGAAATCTGCTGCTTGTTTCTGTATCAGGAAGTCGCAGTCAGCAGCTCTGCCTGAAGCTGGAGCCCAGAGGACTGCTGTACGTCAAACTGACTCTGCAGGAAAAATGGGACACCCAGGTAACCTGGGAGATCCTGGTAAACTCTATAAATGCTGCTGTTGCAATGCGCTGGGAGTCCTATAGAAGGCGCACTGGGTGCAGACGTTGTAGTCCTTGCCATGGTTGTTCTGGGTTCGATTCCCGGTCTCAGGTCATTTACTGCTTGTCTACTTCTTCTCTCCCCTCCTTATTGACTGTTAAATAAAAAAACTCTAAAATATCTTTACTAAAATAAAAGTCACATACTGCTGTTAAAAAGCCTAGAGGTGCTGGGAATCTGAATGTTTGTGTCTGCAGCACGGCAGGGATCCCTCAGCACCTGCTAATGTGTTTGGGGTTGAACTGCACCACCTGGTGGAGAAAGAAGGAAACGCAGCTCCAGTTCCCCTGCTGATCCAGAAGACGGTGGCAGAAATAGAGAGACGAGGCCTGAAGGTGGGAACTAAGCCATTTCTATTGCGACCGCTCTCAGTACTGATCCAAGATTGAACCGGACCTGGGTTTGTTCAGGTGGTGGGTCTGTACCGGTTGTGTGGTTCTGCTGCCGTCAAGAAGGAGCTGAGAGACAGGTTTGAGAAGAACAGTTCAGCCGTGTGTCTGTCCGAGGACCGGTACCCCGACGTCAACGTCATCACAGGTCAGTGACCAGAACCAGAACCTGGTGCAGGAGCAAACCAAGCTCACCCAGTCCTGAGCTTAGTTTTCCATGAGGACTTTTTTTAGAACCAGACCCACTGATTGGTGGACTGTTTGGTTTTAAACTGCTGGCTGGGTCCAAACTCAAAGATATCAGTCATCAAGTGAAACTGGAGGGAGGGAACTAAACAGAACCAGAGACCGGTTTCCCAAATAAACTAGAACAAGATCTGGTAACACTTTATTTGAAGGGGGTTGAATAAGACTGTCATGACACTGTCATAAACATGACATAACACCTGTCATGAACATGAATAAGCCTTCATGAATATTTATGACTGTTGTCATAAAGTGTCATTCGGTAAATTATGACACTTTTAATACAAAGTTGACATTATTCGAAATGTCTTTGTTATGACAACTTGACATTAACCAGGAAATCATTACTGTTTAAACTTTACCTTTAATAACATAAAGTTACCTAATTTTTAAAGTGCAATCAGTAATACTTTTATAACAAATTTATATCAGTGATGATTTCCTGGTTAATGTCAAGTTGTCATAACAAAGACATTTTGAATAATGTCAACTGTGTATTAAAAGTGTCATAATTTACCAAATGACGCTTTATGACAACAGTCATAAATATTCATGAAGGCTTATTCATGTTCATGACAGGTGTTATGTCATGTTTATGACAGTGTCATGACAGTCTTATTCACCCCCCTTCAAATAAAGTGTTACCCAAGATCTCTGTATTTGACCTGGTCCCGAGGGTTTGGATCAGAATCAAAGACACAGTACTCAGTACTGATTGCCTTGTTTTCTGAATCCTGATTGGACTTTCTTTGTAACAGGCCTTGAGATGGTGTTAGGAGTAAACTGTTATGTTGATAAACTGACCAGTTGGACTGGATCAGAACCAGCCAGAACCAACCCTGTTGTTCTCCAGGTGTTCTGAAGGACTACCTCCGTGAGCTGCCGTCGCCGCTCATCACCAGGACTCTGTACCAGGTGGTCCGGGAGGCCATGACCCTGCGACCACCACTGGAGACCCCTGACCCAGAAGCGGCCCAGTGCACCGTTCGACTCCTGTCCTGTCTGCCGGAACCAGAGAAGGTAACAGAAGGAAGGAAGGAAGGAAGGAAGGAAGGAAGGAACGAAGATAGATAGATAGATAGATAGATAGATAGATAGATAGATAGATAGATAGATAGATAGATAGATAGATAGATAGATAGATAGATAGATAGATTAGTCTCCTGCAGGAGAAATGTATCCTGGAAGCAGGGGCAAAAACTGCAGTACAATGATAAAAAACTCATCCAAAAGGACAGTAACCATGAACAAATAAAAAACAAAGTA